AGTAGGATTGGGATAAACTCCTTAAGAGTCTTATCCTTTCCCAGCTGTAGACTCTTGTGCCTTATCCGCTTATCTCGGATTTCAATATCTTCAGAGGTAACCTCGGCCTCGCTGAGATAACCTCAGCGTCATGACCAGGACACGTGGCACCTCGGCAGACAAGTCAGCGTCACCTTAGCCATGTGTTGGTACTCAGAAAATATATCCCCACAAAGAACATGGGATTCTTTATTGTAAATATCTTTATCCTTCACTCATCACTTATTAAAGGGGCGAAATATTAATGTAGCGGATAAAAGCCTTGGGCTGGTCCAAACTATTAAATCCAAACCAGAATGGCCATCTGATAAGGGCCAGATACCCACATGGGCCAAATCATTAAGCCCATCTCTATATGGATCATCTTCCCAAGTCCAAGATGGGTTCCACTTAAATTATTGGAACATGATCATCTTCCCAAGGCTCCCTGACCACATCATGATGGGTTACACTTAAATTATTGGAAAAAGATTAAGATTTATGAAAAAAAATTCACAATTGTACTCACAATAATGTCACATGTGTAATTTTTAATTTATTATATATCTAATGATATATGGTCATTGATCTCTAGCATTACTCTTATATAGATATATTGAATTTATTGGTGATTATGGAAATATGACATCTAAAAATTGATTTTTATAGAGATAAAAACATAATTAATGAAATTATTTGATAAGAATGATAAATTATTGTTTTGAAAAAGTCACCAAAAAATTTGATTTGAAAAATTCACAGAAAAATGGCTCAAAAAGTGATATATAGACATATTAGGTATAGACAAATAGGAGGATAACGTGAACAGATAAATGATAGATAGATAGATAGATATATAGAGATAATATTTCAAAATTATTTTGTCCTTTTGACATAATTTTTTTTTTTTAAGTAGACTTGTGGCTAGAGTTGCTTATTTTTTCTCGTTTCTTTTTTTTTTTAATCTATAATTATTTTTTAAAAATTTATGTCAAAAAAATATGAATGAAAAGAAAATGCTTAACCACCTAGGCAATGTGCTTGCCGCCTTATTTAGAGGGTGTTTGAGATTATCTAAATAATTATATTTTTTGATTTTTTATTAAAAAATGAATAAAAAAATAAAGAAATAATGTGATTAAATAAAAATAAAAAAATGTGTTATGGATGCCAAATAGTACTGTAGCCGAAGTCACGGCACTTGAGTTGATTCACTGTAGGATTTTGCGGAACAGCTCAAACACTTCAAAACCGCCTTATTATACAATTTTTTTTTTTCTTTAAACATGTAAACCATTTTTTTTAGGGGTTGTTATTCAATTAAGAAAATATTCAATGCAAATATTTTTTTTATTTGCATGGTATTCAATTTTTTTTTTTTTTTTGGATTCTTGCTAAGACTAAGGTTGAGACTCCAATGAGGAATATTTGGGTGTCAATATGGTAGATACTGTGATACCTTTTTCTATTGTAATTACATTTGATAATGTAGTCCATTACATACATATTGGGTGTTTGAGAGAAAGTAAGAGACATGTACATTTGTGATTGGTGTAAAGTACCACTTGACTGTACCAATAATATGCATATATATATTTTATGTATTTTAATTTGTTAGCAGTTTATCAAAACCTTGCTAGTGCTTTTTGCATGTGTTTTATAACATAGAATAAAAAATATGTCCATTAATTTACATGTCTTTTACTGTAGTTTTTTGCTAATCAATACTATTGGAATTCATTGGCAGTTCATCCTGTACATAATTTCTAGGATCTTGCAAGGTAATGAAATACTAATAGGTATGTAAATAAATTTTCAAGATCCTGAAACTGAAGAATTCTCAGTTTGTAAAAATGAAAAAATTTGTAAATTTTGTTTTCTATCTCTCCCCTTTCTTTTTCTCTCCATCACACTTGTACAAACTAAAAATTTTCTCAGAAATTGAACAAAATTGATTTTTTTTTTTTGAATTTTGTGAAACTGAGAAATATTTTAATTTTAAAACTAAGAAGTTACTCAGAAATTCATTTTTTTTTAAAAATAATTTTGTTTAATAGAGCTTAGTGAGTATGTTCCAAAAATATAAATTTTATCAATATATATAATGAAAGTTATAACATTTTAAAATTTAAAATACAAAAATCAACAAGTGTGCATACGTTAGTCTCTTCTTACTAAAGGGAAACCATATATGAACAATTTTTATACAAAATTTGGATACATAAAGATGTGGCTCTTGTGTGTTTTTCATTTTCAACTAAATCACCTATAATCACGACTTACAATTTTAAAAATGTCACTCACACATTATTTATTATTTATTTTAAAAAAAATTCTATTTACGAGTCACTTATTTGTCTATTTATTTATTTGGTTCAAATGCTCATGAGCTCATTCCAGTTTAATTAAACACAAAATTGTCTAGCAAATAAAAAACTAAGATATGAATTTTGTTGGCGTGCACTTTTATGACATATGTTAGCAAGTTAATTTTTTTTTTATATATACATTATGCATAAAAGTGTGTAATAAAAAAGGTAATTTTTTTTAAAATCCATGATATTAAGATTTTATAAGATAAATGATATACAATATTTTCATAATAGTTAAAAATCCCTCAATATTTTCATCGAGAAAATTTAATTCAGAGAAATTTTGGTCCTGACACAGAGAATTTAAAAAAATTTCTAATATGATTATAGAGAAATTTTATCAAGGGACCTTAGTTAATGAAAAAATATCTTGGACCTCTCCAACTAAACAAAGTTGGAGAGAGATATTTCACTAATTTTTCCTAATAAAAAATACATAATATTTTTAAATTTTCTTAACGTGTGCCCCATGTTAAGAAGAACCAAAACTTATTTAAGCGGATTTAAACTAACACCATTCTAAAAATCAATACTTTTGAGTAATTTAAAAAAAAAAAATTATTGTATCAGAGACTGCAAGCACAATGAAGTATTTTGCGGAGTATTTAGGTTGACAAGTAAACTAATGTGGATAGGTATTTGCATTTACACTATATATATCTATCTTAAATTTTAAGTTTAATTTCCATGAAATATAGTGCTATGGCAAGTCCAAGGCTATTATAGTTTTCTACAAAAAAAATAAATAAATAAATTAAATAAATAAATAATTTAATGAATAAATAAAATATATATATATATATAGTACAAGTTTTTAAAACGTCGGGACTCCATGACATTAAGTTGGAAGAGTGGAATGTTTTGTCGGCCATAAAAGGTCTTTGTTTGGCCTTTCTCTTTGCAGAGAGGGACACCTTATGACACTTGTTCAAAAATCGTGTTTGAAGGGTATAAAACGGCACTGTTTGAATGTCTCTTTCAGAAGCTTGAAATTATAAGCGAGTCAAAAATTTTCAATATGACTGGCCTTTCACATTTTTTTTTTTTTTGTCTTTTTTTGAAATTTTTTAAAAAAAATTATTTTAAAAGTATCTTTTTAGATTAAACGGATTTGAAAGAAAAAATTTGACACAAATTTTAAAAATTGTACTAAATACAAAATGAATTTTTTAAATGTTGCCAAACAGAGCAACTCTGAAAAGATTTGGATCATTGCTAGTTCTAATAAAAGAATAAAAATGATTCATCCTCTTAATTTTATTTTAAAAATTCTACCCCTAATGATACGAAATTAAGTGGCTAAAGATGAGGAATAATGATTCATCTCCTTAATTTTGCTCCTCCAATTCCACCTGCAATGATGTAGAATTAGGAAGGGGGGAGAGGAGTATGGTATTGTTTCACATGAGGGTGGAATTGGAAGGAGGGAGGGGACAAAAAAAAATTTTTTTTTTTTGGGGAGGGGGATGTAGCACCACTCAAAGTTGAGAGAGAGAGAGAGAGAGAGAGACAACTATGCTATATCCCCCTAATTTATCATCCCTAAATGACCGCTAATGCCCCAGAGAGAGAGAGAGAGAGAACAATGCTATATCCTCTCAATTTATCATCCCTAAATGACCGCTAATGATGTGGCATTAAGGGTTAGATCTCATGTAATGGAATATTTGATAAATTAAAATTTGACACTTGTTAGACACATTGTTAGGGGTGATTTTTAGGAGTGATAAATTAAGTGTCTCAACTATTTTGAGAGAGAGAGAGAGGGCTGTGAGATCGCTTCACATAAGTCTTAGCCATGTCGTTGGGAGTGGAATTAGGGGGTATCAATTAGGGGGATGTAGTAGGACTGGATGACTAGAATGATTTTAAAAATAAATCTTTTATTTTTTTGAAAACAAATATGATCAAATCATGTAACTATATTTATACGGTCAATCTGATTTTTTTTTTTTATATATATAAATAATCTACACATAAAGACTTAAATTTTGAACGGATTAAATTATTGAAATGGGCCTTGTCATAGGTCCAGTGGGTTGAATTGGTGATGACCAAAAATGATTACCAATGGCCTAAGATGGTAGCTATGGGAGGCAGTTTTTGTCGAGAGATGATAATTTTGAAGGTGATTTTTGACAAAAGTTGAGTTGTTAGAGGTGATTATTAGTGAGAGATGACGATCAGATGTGATTGTTGACAATGGTCGTAATGTACTGAAGGCGGTTTTCATCAATGAGTGGTGATTATTAGCGGTTAAAGGCGATTGTCAATCACAAATGAAGTAGACATAATTGTTTGTCAGAGGAGCCAATACAACAATTTTCTTCTTTTTTTTAAAATAAAAATTTAATAAATTTTATAAATTATTTATAAATCAATTAAAATGACACAAAAACATAAACGTGGCAAAACTTTTCCATCTAGAAAAATTTTGAAGGATTCTATTGGGCAGTCAAAATGTCAAAGCGTTTTGGAGATTTCGCTCCTGTCAAATCAACGTTATACATTCATCTTCAAAATCAACGTTGGAAGTATGCATTGCAAGTAAACATAAAAATTTCAAATTCAAACACCTCATCGATTAAAAAAAAACAAGATACAGATTTTAGAAGTTCCTATATAACATAACAAACGTACCTTAATCAAAATCACCACATGACCTTTGCCAATTGGTGAAAAAAAAAAAAAACCCTCACAAGAATAGAATTCAAAAACTAGGGTTTTCAGAACCCAAAAAAAAACCATGCATCGTTCACCCGCCATGAACCTAATACATCGCCAAATTCTTAGCCACCAGACCCAAACAGCAGTGATTAGTAACAAGCTCCGGCTCACCCGTCCATGCGATGTGTTCATTAACCATAGAAGTATTGACACGAAGAGAACCGTGGCTTCGTTGCTCTACGATCAGCTTAGGTGGCTCAAGCTCCGACCTTTCTTGGACAAGAAGAGCATGAAACCGGGCGATAAGTTGTTTGACAAGATTGATATTGCAATAAAGGAGTGTAAGATCGGTATTGCGATCTTCTCACCTAGCTATTGCCAGTCTTATTTTTGTCTTCATGAGCTGGCTCTGATGATGGAGTTGAAGAAGAAGGTTATACCGATCTTTTGCGACATTAAGCCCTCTCAACTTACGATTGTTGACAATGGAAATGTTCCGGAGAAGGAGGTCCATAGGTTCAACTCAGCTCTTGAAGAGGCTAAGTACACAGTTGGACTCGCTTTTGATTCTCATAAAGGGTGAGATGAGTACTCTATGTTCCATCTTATATACAATGACTTAATTATTAAATTTCTCTAGTAATTAATGTTCTGAAGAATTATAATAATAATCTGAAGAAGTACATGAATTAGAAAATGGAAGTGGTATGTACCAAAAAATTTGACTTAGAAAATTGTTCACAATTTCAACTTATAGAGTATAGAGTGTGGTGTGATTACACTTGCAATGAATTTCATCGGCTACTTAGTGGTATTTTTTTAAAATAAAAATTATAGGTATATAGATTAGAAAAGCTATAGAGCTAGAATAAGTAGCTCACTAATACTGTGTTTGATTGAGAGATTTCAGAAGGGATTTGAAATATAAAAAGGAAAATGTATGTGCAACTAGGTGAAATGTAAGTATATTTTATCATATTTCACCTTCCATTTCTATTTCCCTTTTCAAATTCTATCCTAAATTTTCTAACCAAATACAGCGTAAAAGAAGTATATTTTGTAGATTCATAGAACTAAGAAAATAATGATGAAAGAAGGATTAATGATTTTTGCAACACAAGCTTCACTTTTTGGGACGAAAATGTTTGGTCACTAAAACACTTATATGTTAAATTGTGGGATTATTGTCTAATTTAAAATGATTCATTTTTTTTTTGTTTTGATTTTTGTCAAATTGTTTAGCTAACGTTATTAATTAAACTAACCTAACATAATGTAATAAATGAAATAACAAATCGATACAATTAAAACTATAAAGATCAAATTAACAGAGAAGACAAATTACATGAATAACAATTATAATTTGTGAGATGTATATAATGCTCCTCTTTTTTTTCTTTTTCTTTTTTTTTTCTAACCTTCTTACTAAAGGGCTAATATTGTCATTTTGTATTTTATTTTTTTACAGGAACTGGTCTGACGTGGTAACAAGTGCCGCTGAAATTGTGATAGATAGCTTGATCGAGCTCCAGGAGGAGAAGAAGAAGGAACACCCAATAATCCCACACCAAAACACTGGATTCTCTCCTCGAACCAAGTAAATGAAGATGACGTCACGTTAAGAAACTATACTCGTGATATATACTTATTTATTTATTTATCATCTTTGCTGGTTTTGCTTAATTTATTTCCATCACTAAATAAATCTGTACCATGCATTTTCATTTCATTTCATTTTTTGTTTTTTGGGGATTGTAAAAAGCGAGATGATTTAGTGTTCTTTGTTTGTTAAAAAAACAGAAGCACAAACTTTTTGTACTTGAATGATTCCGAGTAACTTTTCATTACATGATTCTATGTAATATTAAGGTTCATTCTTGTCTCAGAAATTCAAACTACACATTAATCGAGCGAATGCTTCTCACCGTGACGTTTAAATTATTATTTTTAATAATTTATATTTTGTTCACTTAATGAGTTAATAGATAAATAAAATTAAAATTGTATTTTATAAGAAATACTAAGATGGTACAATTTGAGAGTTCAGAGGATACCCTTTTGTCCGAATTAGAGGGAAGCCGGTTAAAATAATACAAGTTAATATTCATCACGTCTCCTTGTTGATTGGGTGACTTATTAAAGAAAAACAAATGAGTACATTAAGACTATATTAATAAAAATATACAATTCTAGTTAATCGTTGGACTCTTGTACAATAATAATAATATGAAGATTTTTTTTAAAGTTTCTAATATTAAGATTTTATGGCATAATTCATTGGTTTCTCTGACCTTCCTTAAACTTTCTATTATAAATTTCTTTGGCTTTTCCTTCTCTCTAGACAAATTTTTTTCTCTAACCTTTCTTATACTTCTCACTCTCTAGAGAAATTTCTCTGACCTCCTTGGCCTTCCCTAGACTCTCTACCTTCTCTCTCTAAAACTCCCTTCGGCTGGACTCTATGGAACACTCCCAAGAGAGCTCGACGAGCTCTCAAAAGTTAATAGTATATGTTGAAACAATGAATCAAAACTCAACAAAAAATGTTCCTTTCTATTTACTTCTAAAGCCTTTATCTCAGTGTCAACACACTCTCTGGAACCATCTCTCTCTAGCTCGGCTACAGCTCGTCTCTCTCTGACATCGATTTGGGCAACAATTTGATCAATAGGTCACTCCCCACATCGATCTGGAACCTCTGCGATCGGTTCGTTTCGCTTCAGCTCCACAATAACTCTCTCTCTGGTTTTCTTCCTGAACCCGCATTGCCTAACGCTACTTGTAAGAATTTACAGTTTCTTGATCTTGGGCACAACATGTTTTCAGGAAATTTTCTAGAATTTGTAACTAGGTTTCTTAATCTTAAACATCTTGATCTTTCTAATAATATCCTTTCGGGTTCGATTCTTGTGAGTGTAAGTGAAAGAGAAGACTAGAGCTCGAACTCACCCATCAATGGCGTACATAGACCACACTTTCTCCATTTCCGACGAAGACGTCATGATGGACTCCTCTTACAGCTTAAACAACTGATCGGGACAGAAAGCGAGATGTGTAGAGGTCCAGAACGAGAACAGAGAAGAAAGAAGAGAGAGAGAGTGGGAGTGTGGATCTTAGATATCATAAAATAATATTGTGAATCTCTTTCATTATTAATAATGAAAGATAGACCTTAGACTAATTTTTCCTAATAATAATAATAATAAATACAGATATAGATACAAAAACAGTCTCAAAATTTGATTTGAAAAAGATAGAAAATTATTATATGTTTTTAAAGCATTATGTGATATTATTTACTTGGTCATTCTAGTTAATGAGAAATTGCAATAAATAGATTCCGATTTTATGATTTTGAAGGTAAACCATCTATTCTTTAAAGACGAATGTGACCTAATCAAATATAGTTACTGATATTTAATCAACTTGATTTTCAATATGAGAAATGTGTTTGATAAATCTTACAATATGATTCAAATTATCAAAACGGATCCATAATGAATTGAACTGGACCTCTTCAGGCTGATCACAAACTTGAGTGGAGCTACTCTTTATAAACAGAACTGGGCTTTTCATGCAACGAAAAATATAATAGATTTGAGGGTGTCATTGACTCGATGTGGGTTCACTATAGATTCATCTCAATAATTCGAATCATTCATTTTATAAGTTCCAGTGAAAATATCATTCTTTAAAAAAATCGTAGTTAATCAAACATTTGCAGTCACATGATTTGATAAGAAAATGACCAAAAAAATAGACTAATTAATTTTTAATTTATACTCATCCATTTCTTAAAATAGCTATTGTAATAGATAACCCATTAAAATGACTAAAATATAATAATATTAGTTATAATAATTAATAAACCTCATTTAACGAGTCCCTTAGAAATACTTTGAGTAACTAATATGAGTTATAAGGCTCTTTTATTATAAATATGTTGTTTCACACCTTGAAGAAGATGAAAAATCTTTTCCTATAATTAATAGTAATGTTAAAAATACAGAGATTAAACACATAATGAAATGCAGATATTTCATAGAGAATGGCTCTCACATGTAAGTTTCACATCATATGGACCTCACACATTCTGAGATATCTATATCCCATATGTTTATGTGAACTTAGACTTATTGCTATAATTAGGCCTCGTTTAGAGACTGAGTGTTTTAGCCAAAAGGTCAAAATGTCACTATAAGTTGTCACATCACTTTCTCTATTTTTCTGCACATCTTTTAATAAAAAAAAAAAAAAAAAAGTTAGCTTGTTTCCAAACGAGACCTTAATCCTAAAAAAAAAATAAAAAAATAGAAATCATGAACCACAACTACAATCAATAATTGTAGAAGGAATGATAAAATGAAGTCGAAACAATTGAGGTTCGAAAGTTATTCAATTGAATTTAATAGAGTACACCAATAGGAGTTGGTTAAGTAGTAAGATTTTTGAATTTCTTGCTTACAACTTGGGTTTGAGTCTCCTTAAACATATTTTTTAGTGTCCAAAGCACACAAGGGGCTTTAGCTTTTGTCCTTACGTAGGTGCAGTAGAGTTCCTTACAGATACAGTGTGAGTGCTAGGAGGTAATATTTCCTAGCGAGTATATGGAATAGCCTATCTATATATCTATTTTGTTGAATAAAGAAAGTAAAATTAATTGAGTACATAACTTGACAAGGTTGTACACTGTCTTTGTCTGAATGATCTAACAAGTTCATAGTAAACTGTGTGTCTGATCAATATTATTTTACTGTAATTTTTTTAAACTATATAATCAAGAGAATTATACAAAAAGATTGCATAATTACTTGTATTCTTGGGTATTTTGCAAAATTACACCAAATTGATTCTTTAAAAAGAAGTGCGTTTGTAGTACAGTACAGTACACTACTACTGTTGTGGACTAGATCATGTAGACTGGTGAGTTCACCACAGATTTCATTTTTATAATTTAAATTATTTATTTTATAGACTTTTGTACATAGATTATTGATGAAAAAAATTAAATTAATTCTATAATTTATCTTATTTATCTTGAAAAAAACTTATAATTAAAATCATACTTGTTTAATTTTTGCATATAAATGTGATGAAATGAAGTGTTTACAATTATTGAATGAATCTCATAAACCGATCTATCTATCTTTTGTATTATTATACTATATTATAAATTGAAGGCTTTTCATAATATTTATGTCTCATATTTTGTTTTTTTTTTTAAATACCCTACCTTCATTTAAAAGACAAAATTATATAGAAGGGAATGTATATAGAAGGGAAGATGAGACTTGAAACCAAGTCTTTAGATTTGGTTAAAAAAAATCTTGGGTTATTTATAGGAAGGCCCTTACACTATTGAGAAATATAATTTTGATCTCTTAAACTATTAAACCATATAAATAGACCTCCTAAACTATTGACAAGTATCGCTTTAATCTCCTAAATTATAAAAGCATATAAATACACCTCCTAAACTATTGACGTGTTTACCTTGATGCATTCCATTAAGGGGTCCAATTGGTGTATTTTTATAGTTTAGGGAATCTATTCGTTTGTTTTTATAGTTTAATGGGTAAAGCAATACTTCTCAATAATTTAGGGAGTTTATTTATATACTTTTATAGTTTAGGGGGGTCAAAGTGATATTTTTTAATAGTTTAAGAGGTCTCCATATAAATAATTCAAACTTTTTTATAACTTAAACAACACACAATATATATATTTTTACCATTTCTCTTGAATTGCATACGCATTAGTCACTATATATATTGTGATATTAATACATTTATATATATTTTTCAACTTTTTTGAATTGCATAAATTAAGAAATACAATATATACTGCTTAATCTATGACAGATACGTATAAAATGGACCATCCAAGTCATGAAAACGGAGCCTGTGTAAGCCCACTGGGCTGGCCGGACTGCAAATGTGGTGCAAAGAAAGGCTGTTCTCTAATTTAAAAACAAATGTTGACAAGAGAGGACTATGGAAACATGAGAGATCCTTTCCATTACATTTGTTTATGATTTTTTTTTTTATTTTTTAATTTAAAAAAAATCACTATCACTTTCTTTAGTTTCAATTTTTAGAATTTACTTTTCAGAAAATTCTACTTTTTCGTTTTCTGTATTTTTTTTGTTTTCACAGATTTTTTTAAATATTTTAAGTAATTTTTTTTTAATTTTTAGACACACCTAACATAAATATACTTAAAAAGTATAATATTTGTAAAAAAATATTTAAAAAATTTAAATACCAAAAATACAAAAAAAAAATATAAAAATACATTTTTCATATTTTTGTGTATTTATTAATTTTTTTAAAAATATTTTTCACAAATATCTAACATCTAAATAAGGTGTATCTGAAAAAGTAAAAAAAAATGTTTAAAATTTTAAAAATATTCACTAAAAAAAATAATAAAAATAAAAAATTCAATTTTAAAAAAACTAAATTTAGAAAACTAAAACTAAACCCACTGTATAAATTTTTGAATAATATAATGAAGATAATTTTGAAATGAAAATTATCACAATCCGTAAACATCCTCGTTAAAGAAAAACTAGTTATAATTATTTGTTGAGAGAGAGAGAGAGAGAGAGTGAGAGAATATGGTGTCATGTAAAAAACCTGGTTAAAAATTAAAAAAAAAAAAGAACCAAAAAAAAATAAAAATAAAACTACATGGATTGAGAATAAAAATTTCAAAAATATATGAGAAGCAAGTGATTCTGTGATAAGATACAAGCCA